ACATGAATAACAGCTTGTAAAAGCTCAGAAACAACAGAATGGGAATTATAGTACTGTTGGCCTTCTGAATTCTTACTCTGGTAGTATATTAGTCCATTTTAATGCTGCTAATAAAGATGTATCCAACACTGGGTGATTTATAAAGGAAAAGAGTTTTAATGGTCTCAGAATTCCACATGGTTGGGGAGGCCTCACAATCACGGCAGAAGGTGAAAGGCACATGGTGGCAGGTAAAGGGAGAATGAGAGCCAAGTGAAAGGGGAAACCCCTTATAAAACCATCAAATCTTGTGAGACTTATTCACTGCCATGAGGACAATATGGGGGAAACCACCACTATGATGCAATTGTTTCCCACCAGGTCCCTCCCACAACATGTGGGAATTATGGGAGCTATAATTCAAGATGAGATTTGGGTGGGGACACAGACAAACCATATCATTTCACCCCTGGCCCTTCCCAAATCTTATGTCCTCACATTTCAAAACCAACAGCACCTTCCCAACAGTCCCCCAAAGTCTTAACTCTTTTCAGTATTAGCTGAAAAGTCCACAGTCCAAAAACTAATCTGAGAGAAGGCAAGTCTCTTCTGCCTATAAGCCTGTAAAATTGCAAGTAAGTGAGTTACTTCCTAGATTACAATGGAAGTACAGGCATTGGATAAATACACCCATACCAAATGGGAGAAATTGGTCAAAGCAAAGGAGCTAATGGCCCCATGCAAGGCTGAAATTCACCAGGGCAGTCAAATCTTAAAGCTCCAAAATGATCTCCTTTGACTCCATGTCTCACATACAGGTCACACTGATACAAGAGGTGGGCTTCCATGGTCTTGGGTAGCTCCACCCTTGTGGCTTTGCAGGGTACAGCCTCCCTCCCGGCTGATTTCACAGGCTGGCATTGAGTGTCTGTGGCTTTTCCAGGGGCACGGTGCAAGCTGTCAGTGGATCTACATTCTGGGGTCTGGAGGACAGTGGTCCTCTTCTCCCAGCTCCACTAGGTGGTGCCCCAGTAGGAACTCTGTGTGAGGGCTCTAACCCCACATTTCCCTTCTGCACTGCCTTAGCAGAGGTTCTTCATCATGGCTCCACCTCTGCAGCAAACTTCTGCCTTGACATCCAGGTATTTCCATACATCCTCTGAAACCTGGGCAGAGATTTCCAAACCTCAGTTCTTGACTTCTGTGCACCCACAGTCCCAACCATGTGGAAGTTGCCATGGCTTGGAGCTTGTACCCTCTGAAGCCACAGCCCAAGCTGATTTAGGTGCAGATTTTAAGCTAAGTAATGCAAAGATTCATTCCACTTTCCCACCCACAACACATCAGTTAGCAGGCAGGAGAAAGAGAAAATAAAAATATTGCACAGAAGACCATAGTGTTTTGCCCCAGGGTTGCAAGCATTGATATTTCACCCATTACCAGTTCCCAGTCATTGAATGCCTACAGTGTTTGGTTCTGTTACAGAACAGAACATTTAAAATACTTGACTCTTTAGATTATCAGGCTGACATTCCAACAAGCCAGTACTCTTCTTGAGTGACTTTTTTTTTTTTTTGGCCACTTTATTTTATGATGTGCAGCATCATAACATCACACTAACCTAACCCACATTTCAAAAAATCACACGAATGTGGCCTAACCCATATTTCAAAAAATGTTGAATTCATTACCAGCATTCAATAATTGGAAAATTGCCCATAAAAATCTGGATTTCCAGCTTCTCTAGGAAAATTGGAAAATCTGGGTTCACATTCCTGTGTGTTAACAATTAGCTAAACTCTAGTTCAGCTGCTCTCTTTAAGACCAGCCATTTGTACTCTACTGTACCCAGAGGGCTTTCCTAATGGCGCCTTTCTTAAATGGCTCCTCCAAGGCAGTGGTTCCTAAAACCTGGCTTCACATTGGAATAATGTGAGCTTTAAAAGTTACTAATACCTGCATTTCACCCCGGAGATTTTGATATAATCCATCTGGGGTACAGACCAGGTATTGAGATTTTTATAGGCTCCTCAGGTATTTGCAATGTGTAGAGAAAATTGAGAACCCCTGTCTAAGATAGAGCTTCTCTAAGTTTAACTTGCACAGGAATCACCTGAAAATCTTGTTAAAATGCAGATTGTGATTAAGTATGCCTGGGATAGGGCCTGGGATTCTGCCATTCGAACAAGCTCTTACATGGTTCCAAAACTGCTGGTCTATGGGCCTCACTTGAGAAAGGTCTAAGCCATTTGTAATTCGTGTTGGTTTTGAACCCTAAGATACATTCTTAGGTTTCAAGTCTAATGAAAGCTAATTCTAGCACTCACAATATTGATGTAGCTGGAATGATGATGCCAAATGAGAGTATCCTACCATACTTTGGGGAGAATTCTTTCTCAGCCTGTGGCCACTCAAAGCCTTTCTTGACATTTGGGGGTCCTTGACTTCCTACGGCTGACTTCCAAAAGACCTTCACCCTTATGCCTTGTGACACCCCTGTATCACCCCTTTTGTTGCAAGTTGTACATCTGCTATTTCCAGTTCCTTGCTGGTGTCACTACCTGCCAGCCAACAGTTTGGCCATTACTGATTGAACCGTGGTGTTTGGGTACTTATGTGAGTATTTTATTGCAGAGGTTTTCAATCAGTGTTTCCAGAAGCCCTAGAGTAATAGTTCTGAAACCATAGCATGCATCAGATCACTTGGAAAGCTTATTAAAACACAGATTGCTAGGTTCCACCCTCAGCATTCCTGATTCAGTAAGGACAATTTGAATTTCCAACAAATTTTCAGGAGATGCAGATGTTTCTAGTCCAAGGACCCAGAGGTTCTAGACAGAAGGAAGGGAGGTGGTGCAATGGGCCTCTTGGCCTTGTTACATGACTTGTTACCTTATAGCAGTTGTATTTGGGGATTCTAGACTAGATATTTTTAAATAAAAAGATTATTTTTAAAAAAGCTTGAATATTGCTGTTTTGTTGCCTTTGCTTCTGTTTCATAGAAATCGATTGAAGGTGAAAATAAAAATGCTAATACTAGTGATATGGGGGGAATATCATCAGTTTAAAACAAATGAAATACTGAATTTATTCAGTATATGAAAAGAGAGCCTTATTTTCTTCCCTTGGGACACTCTTCATACTTATATGTTCAAATATGATGAAAAAACGTAAAGGAAATACAACGTACGCTGGAAATAAATTACTAAAGACTGTGTCTAAATGAGGAGGTGCATTTGGGAATTTTATTGATTTTAGGTTTGCGGGTGAACAGAACCCCACTGTAATAGTGCATAAGGCTCTTTCCAGCTATCTCCAAAAAAAGGAGATAACTAGCAAGGTTTTCACTGTTAAGAGTTTGTTCAGAGCGGAACCTAAAGGAAATACTGTGAAGGTCACAGCAGTTTCATCTCAGCTTATTGGATTGGATCAAAGTAATTCTACTGCAAGGCAAGTTACATCATTTCATTTACAGACAGAGAATGCATGAGGTCCTTCATTTCACACAGTAGGTGTGAAGGAGGTACCTTGGTAAATTTCATATTTGCTTTTAGATAAAGTGTATTCTTAAACCTGATGTGGGTAGCTGCCTGTTTTCGTGTCGCCTCTTCAAGAGACAACTTGGAATAATAGAAACACCAGTGTCTGAATAGCCTAAAGTGGAGCTTACTTTTCTGTTAGGCGAGTCACCTTTAAAAATGATATTTTTTTAAGGATAAGCGATGAATTTTAGGACGTTCTTCCCTCTACTTCCAACGCCCACAGGAATAAATCACCAAATTCAACGTTTTACAGAGGCCAAGTGCTTAGGTTTTGTTTGTTTTTAAAAGAGTTTTCTTGCAAGGAAACTGGGAGGGAACTATAAAAGGGCTTTAGGCACGCAGGGTGGGCAGGTGCAGGGCTTTAAGTTGCAGAAAGGAGAATCTGGAAAGAGCTTTTAGGAAGCAGATTCTCACATGTTTTAATATGAAAGAGTGGCACACACGGGGTGCTGGCATTCCATCTTATCATCAGTGGAAGGTTTGAACCAACATCAATTTTTTCTGGAGCAATTTAGGTAATTATTACTTGAAGAATCTGCATTTCAAAACTAACACCTTTAAGAGACAATGTAATTCACCCGAGCTTCCCTCCGAACCCCTCCTGCCCGCCGCCACCGGCCCCGCGAACACCGTGGGGCCCGTGGTCTGCCTGAGTGACCTCCATTTGCTCTGTCATCTCAGGACTGGAAGGCATCAGCGTACACCCTCAGAAAACTCTCTTCCCTTCTCGTGGGTCCGCCTGGCTCCCGGAGGTGGCGGTGCCAGACTGCCGGAGTCAGCCAGCGGCAGGCTGCGGGCGCCCGTCCCTCCGGTTCACCCTTTCACCCCTCCTTCACCCCCGGAGCGCCAAGCGGGTGGCGCGGGTTTTCCGCCCACTGGGGAGGCTGTGCTGGCGAGGCCAGGAATTGCAAGGCCTCCCCGCTTTGGCGAGCTCCGGAATCCGAGTTCTCCCCACCCCAGCCACTCTGCTGGGGCGCTAGGGGCTCGAAAAAGCCTGGGGTTGGCTGCAAGACACTCGGATTAGAGACACAGCCAGCCTCCCGGGAGGTCTGAACTTGTCTTCGACCTCCCCGAACCCCTCCGCCTCTGCGCTGGGAGACGCCCAGCAGCCGGGCCGGCCCGGGACGCGCAGAGCCAGAGCACTCCGCAGCAGAGGCAGCGCGCAGCACGGCCGCCCGGGGCATCCCCGCGGCTGGGGGCGGAAGGCGAGGGCGGTGGCAGGAAAGGTCCGCCAGGCCGGAGCTCGCTCCCCCACCGCCGGCCGCCGGCTCGGAGGCCGGAGCTGTGCGGGCGGAAAGGGGCGGAGCCGCGGGCTCTGGTTGGTGTGGGATCGGGGGCGGGGCGCGCGGGGCCGGGCCGGAGGCGGGGCCAGCGCCGGGCGCTGGAGCTGCGGGCACACGGAGAGGAGTCGCGAGCAGCTGGAGCGGAGTTGGAGGAAGCAGTGGCCGCGGCGAGGGCGGCAGGCTAGCGGTCGGAGACGGCGAGCACAGATCGGGCACGGCCGGCGGGTCGCAGCCGGGCTGGAGGCGCGTCGGAACCGAGCGGGCAGGAGGCCGCCGCTGCAGCGCGGGCCCCGCAGAGGAAGGAAGCCGGCAGGCGGGGGAGGTAGGCAGCGGTGGCCCCGGGTGTGTGTGCTCGGGCGGGGGAGGCGGTGCATGTGTGCGCGGCTGCCGCGGCTCTCTTCCTGTCACTGGCAGCCGCTTCTCCTTCTGCAGAGCCCCGCCGGGGGGAAGCTGGCCGGCCACTGGCCCTCCCCGCCTCCGGCATCTCCTGGCCACCGGACAGCGCTCCCCCCTAGCGCTGCCGGCGTCCTGCGAGATCCCGGCCATCCTGGCTCCCGTTTCCCCTGTCCTCCTGTGAGCTGGTCCTGCACGCCGCCGGTGGCATTTGCCCCCGGAGTTGCCGGCGAGCTCGGGCTTCCCCCCACCCTCCATCATCGCACACTTCCGAGGGTCCCTGCTGTCGCCTTGCTGCAGTTTTCCGCGGCCCCTCACCGGAGGAGAGCGCCCTGGCCGCTGCCTTCGTGTTGCGGGAAGGAGCGCTCCCTTCGCCCGTGGTCCTCCAGCTGCAGCCAGGGTCGCTGCCCCGGCCCTTCCCGGGGCGGGAGAGGCGGCGGTGGTCCGCAGAGCTAGTCCCCTAACCCCCGCCTTCCGAAGTTTGCCGCCCTCCTCTTCCGGGGTGGGGGAAGTGCGCCTCGGGGCGGTTGGTCGCTGGGGCCCTAACTCGGCGTCTAGTGCCAGCCAAGCTTGGGCAGGTTGTTGGAGGCATATTTAGTGGGGTCTTGGAACAGCCCGGAAATCCAGCTTTTTGGAACGTGGGGCGAGACGGGAGGGACCTGCCCAGCAATATGGAGCCGGCTGGGGAAAGCCAGGGAGCGTGGAACCCGGAGCTAAAATATCGTGGGCAATTCTCTGGAAACCACAGCTCTTACACTAGTGAACTCTAACCACAGCTCTAACCTAAGCTCAGAAACTGCCCCCCAGATCACAAGACAAAGAGAACAGAAAACCTCTGGCCAGGCACTCCTGTACAGAAATACACTTTGGGAACCAGAATTGGAGCCTGAACTGCAAGGGTATACGCAGAATGGCTGTTACATGTTGAATGCAGAATGTATGTCAACTGGATTTGGGGGAATTCTTCTGTTTCCCGGGGCGCTATTAATACCGGAAAGGTCTCACTTCCACCGTTAATCCCTTGAGCTGCAGCGCTGTTGGTGTCTGCTCTTTATTTGGGGGCTTCATGATTTTAGGTTTTTTTTCTGTTCTTTTCCTCTTTGTCAGCCAGTGCAAAGTACCAGTGGATAAAGCAGTTCCGGGTTTTGAATGCAACATAAGATTGTCATTTTGGTGTGATGAGGCTCAAGATTTAGTAATCAGGCGGGATATTCACAGAGCTTATTGGTCAAGGCTTGATGTGGAGTTATATTTTAATACTTCATTAGTTCTGTTACGTTTTGGCAATCTTAAAGATGGTTAGATATTAGGTAGGAAGGGTTGGAATAGGCAGATAGGTTCATTTCTTAAGCAGGCTATTAGAGTATTAGATCGTCACAGTTTGAATTACTAGGAATTTGGTGACTTCTGCACAGAAGGCCACAAGTATCTTTTAACATTGAAAAGGAAGAAAAAGCAACTCACTAGCTATAACTTTTTGACAGAGTACACTGTTCTTGAAAAACAGTTTAGAAGCAAGCAGATAATAGTTTTCTTAGGTGCAAAAGTTGAGTAAACTTTGGGAAGCAAATGTTTCTGACCAGTATAAAGAAAATGAGAGTAATGTGGTGTGTGTGTGTGTGCGTGCATGCGTGCGTGCGCGCGCGCGCACGGCTAAAGTTTGGGAAGAAATGTTGGTTCAGAGTAAAGGTTTAAGTTGGAAAGGCCAGAGGATGAGGCTCCCTGCCTTGCACAACTGCTGGGTAATGTCACTGCTTGCCTCTTCAGCTTTTATATGCAGGTCATACTGCTTTTTCCAGAGAAGTGTATATAGATTTTTATGATTGGAAGAAAGTTTAATGTATCTGATACTGGCTTGCAAAGTGTCATGTGCATTTACTTTTAACTTTCATCTTGACTTGGGACCTGTTCTTAGTTGCATAACAGAACTCTGCAGTGTACACACTACTATCTGATGTTTTATCTGCTTTTTTTAATCTGCTTTTTAAAAATGAGTCTTTTCATATCCATGATGCTGTATAGTCAGTGTAAAAAGCATTTTATTTCCCACTTATTAAATGTTTTTTCTTTAGCAATTTTTTGAGTTTAAATGTACTAAGCGCAGGAAATCCTCACAGAATAAAGTTAGTTTTGGGAAACAGAAGTGGAACAATAAGTCATGGGAATACATATTTTGATTATTGACAGTGATGATGGTGATATGCGTTTATCTTCTGGTAATGTCAGTTTCACCTAAAATGATTTTTGAAGGACTTTGAATTGTAAATGCAAACCTACTCAAACTAACCAAAATTTTGTACCGTTAAAAGTGTTGGCCATTTCGTTACATTTTTCCATGAATGTCATGTAATTTTTAGGTTGATATGTTGATTGAAATTTCCTTTTTTCTCTTAGGTCGTTCAGGGGAGTATTGTAAAAAGGCATCCAGTCTGAAAGATTATTCACATGATCATTAAAATAGGAACAATTGTAGTTCAGCTTTTATTGTGTTTGCATTTTGTGATTTGCAAAATGCTTGTTTTATTGAATAAAGAGATGGTGAATGAGCAGGCTGAAAAAAAAATTGATTTTTATGCTCAAGTAGAATATAGCCAGTTGAGATAATGTTTGTGTTGGGTTTTAGAATTCTGTCACGTCAAGGCATACACAATGCAGATGATATTGTATGTTTCATATGGGCTCCTCCAGCTCTCCCTCTTGAAGGGCACAGGGTTTGCAAGTTAAGGTAAGAGAATGAAGCATTTTAATGAAGCCCTGGAAGCCTAGAAAGTTAGTTATCAGTGGAAGGAATTATCAAGTTAGTTTTTACTTTAGAAAGCAGAATATAAATTATATCACAGCTTTTTATCGAAAACCTAGGTTGTAATTAATTTTCAAAGTATTCATGTCATTTACTGCATTTTCCCATGCCTCCTTTACATACACCCTAATGTGATTACTTGCCATGATTCTACCAATACTTGTATGGAGTTACTTGCCTAAAAGACTAGCAATTAATGACCATTTCATGTACATTAAGCCACATGGGCTGAAAAAATAGACTATATAATTACTTATAAACTTGTCTGTTTGGCATTTATTTATTTAGGTGTTAGGTGTTTGTTTATTTGAAAGACTGGAGTGATTGTAGTATGGCATTACTAGAAAAAAAAGTCTACTGTAGAAACATCTTTGGAGATTTTATTCTGCTCACATTGTTTTCCTTAAAGTAAATCAAATACATATCCACAGGCACCTGTAGTCAAAATAGTTGTCAGGTTAATCATCATCCAACAGAGTACTGAAGTCACAGGAGTCTGGCCAAAGTGTGAGGAGACTCCACCAGTGGGTGCAGTGAGCTAATAAAGCCAAGGCATCTGGGCCAGCCATTCCTTGCCTGTTGTCTTCCTCTCTGGATGTCCCAGTGTCCCAGCCTGGGGTTCTGCCCCAGGATCAAGGGCTGTACCATGAGCTACTTATCTCTACATCCTGGGGATGCGCACACATGGACACATCCCTTGGCCTCTCCCAGGCCTCCTTTGTCCTGACCTCTGCGGAGCCGTCCTCTACCCCAGGTAAGGAGAGAACTACATGGGCAAAGTCCACACTTAGCCTTTATCTATTTACTCCAAAAGGGGTTTAAGACAGCAGGGAGTTTTATTTTAGTTACATTCAGGATTCATTTAGAACTGTTTGCGAGTTAAGAGGCAATGCAGAAGAAAATTCCTCACAAATGTTTGTTCCTCTGTTAAATCTGAATTGTATAAATGACAGTAGGTGACATTCAATACTAATAGAAATAACAGTAATATCATAGTTGCAGTTTACTAGCTATGTAACTTTAGGCAAAGTATTTAACTTTTATCTGCTTGTTTTCTCATCTGTAAAATGGGGATAATAGTTGTACTTAGAGTGGTTGTAATGATTAAATGAGTTGATATATGTACAACTCTGAGAACTTCGTGCCTGGCACATAGTAAGTACTATGTTGGCATTAATTATCCTAAGCTCCTATTATCAAGTATGGAGCTAAGTGTCATTTTGTTAATCCTCATAGTGACTCTGTGAGGTGTAGGTTTGCTTGATAAAACTGTGCCACAGAGAGGTTTAAGTAACTTTCCTGAGGTTACATATTTAGGTACTGATTGGGGCAGCTGCTTGAATCTGAAGCTCAGTGTTCATACTAACCTTGCCAAGAAGTTTACAGAATAGCATCTTTTTTTTTTTCAAAAAAAGAAAGACTTAAAATCATCCCCTTCAGTCTTCTCATTCCTGCCCCCTCAGGTCCTCTCCATTGTGAGGATGCAGAGAACCGGAATGGTCAGCCTCATGGCCTTTTCTGGGTGATAGGATCTGTCCCTCAGGTCCCAGAAGCTACGTCACCCTTTCTCCCAGCCTCGCGTAATGGCTACTGCGTTCCAAAGCGTTGCCATCACCTGGGCCAGGGTCATTCCTCTGTGTCTCCTGCAGTGCCTTCCCATCATGTTGGCTGCTTTCTGAAGAGCCCTGTCTCCTTGTTGTGTTACCTGGGCTTGTGCTACCTGTTCTCCTCTCCCTCGCCCCATAAACACAACACCAAAAGGGCTTGTAGGTGAGAATTACAGCCTATACACCCTATTTACCCACACCACACACCCAGCCCTGAGCATGGCAGCATGCAACACATTCTGTTTAGTTGGTTGGTTTGGAAATGAATTTGATGTCTATTATTTGGGGTTAATCTAAGCCCATTATTTTCATTTTATTTTAATTGATATAAAATCCACATACCATAAAATTCACCCAAGTTCATCATTTCAAATTGAAGGCAATTTATTATGTTTACTAGGTGCTATGGGTTGAATGTGTCTTCCAAAACTTACATGTTGGAAATGTAATCCCTAATGCAATGGTGTTGGGAGGTGGGGCCTAATAGGAGGCTGTGCTCTCATGAATGGATTAATGTCATTA